GGAACGGTCAAAGCAAAGTGCCGAACAGCAACGGAGATTGGATGCACTGGGTCATGACGATGCAGGAGACTTTGGAGAGGAAGATGCCGATGAGACGAGGCGATACTCCGATATACCCCCCGACGTACTGGAATATGCCACCAATAATGCGACACAACCATGGTCACAACACACTTTCCAGAGGCCTACCGAGACCCAGAAATATACCCAGGGATCGAACATCCCTTCATCCGGCCGGCAAGCCCTTGGTCGTACGAACATCAACACCAACAGGGTACCATCCACCCCCCGGCAGACTTTTGAATATGGCGAGCAAGTGCAGTTGGAATTGATGGAAGGCAGCAGAGTTGTTTCCGAAATCAGGACAGTCAATGTGCCCCGGAATAATGGAAATGCAGGAGCAGAACGTGGATTGTCATATCAACAGTTCTCGCAGGCACATTCTCGCCAGAACGAGCGGCAATCACTCCGCCATCAGGATCAATCGTCGGCTTTGACTTACGAGGCATCTTCGTCAACAATCCAGCAAAGCAGGATCGATACCCGTCAAGCACGAGGACAAACGCCGTTATCTAGGACAGGACTGTTACAAAACCAGCAACAGCAACAGCAGCAGCAACTTTCATCAATGTCCCGCTCAGGAATTATCTCTCCCGGTGGGTCGTTTAGTCGACATGATTCGCCTTTGGGCCTCTCAGGTCCAAGCATGTCTGCATCTGTCCCAGCCTTGGCTGGTGTTTCATCGAGGCTCCCGGTTCCTAAGTCGCGCCTTGGCACACCCAGCTTGCAACTCCAACCTCAGCCACATCAGTCTCCAGACCTGCTTTCCTCAACACCCATTAGGAGCGGCTTCATGAATACCTTTGCGTCGCCCAAACTCGAATTTTCCCAGCGCTTCAGTGGATCGACACCCAATCCTCCAACTCCAACCAAAGCCCACCCTTACCAGTTGCCTGATAACCCACTTGCACCTTCTCATTCGCCCTCACCAATGACAAGAAGACGTTCGTCGGATATGGCCAGCATCCCTGGTGGCTCTGCGTTTGGCAAGACAATCTTTAGTCGTCGCAAGCTTGTGACTCGGATGGGCACCACAGAGGAGGAGGACGGATCGAGGACCAATGGCCAGGATTCACCTCATGATCGAAAATCTCAACCTGAGGGACTGGCCATTGACTTTACTTCAACTTTGGACTCCCCTATCTCACTTCCCAAGACAAACGGTTTGGGAGACGGCGATCTTGCACAACGACTTTTGCCATCCAAGAAGTTGTCTGTCCAAATGGGAGGAAGGGCACAGTTGTACAAGGACGACCTTATGGACATGGACGTGGACGTGGACATGGATATGGATCAGGGACCAGTTCAGCATATTGATATGATGGTGTCATCGATCTCTTCGCCTATGCCGCCTCCATTTTCTCGACCACAACATGCGTTTGGTTCAATGCCTGGATCACCGCATCACGTAGGCTCACAGTCGCCGCGTTCAGGTACCGGCACCGTTATTCAAACTGTTCAGGGAGTTGAGAGACCTGCGAGCGCAATGCAGAGGTCATTCAGCCAAGATCGCGAGTTGTCGGAGCTGGCCAGGAATCGAGGATTGGATTCTCCTCGCAAGACTTCAAGGGTCACACAACATCGCCCATCTTCCGCTTTTATCTCTGAGCCTTTGAGCTTTACTCAGAACGATGATCACAATTCTCCTCGGTCACAATCCAAGCCGCAGCAGCACTCGTTTTTTCAATCTGGCTCACAGGAGCAGCGGAACCAAGGATTATCACAGACGCTGAAACACTATTCCTCGCAGCCAGTCTCATTGTCCTTGTCACAGCAATACCATCAGCAGTCGTCCTCTCAGGATCGCCCACAGCAACAGCAACACTCCCGGAACCTCACGTCGCTGTCTACCCCATCCCTTCGAAAATCTGGTACGGAGCAGCTTTGGTACAACCCCATGGATAACCAAGGAGCTTCGGATTTGCTAGTGGAAGGCATGTACAGAAATGCTAGGAGCCCAAGCCCAGACCAGACCCCATTCAAGGCAAGTGGGCCAATTGAACTTGGTTTGGGATCATCCCCTACAAGACGATCCACTGGCAGTTTCCCCTCAACACAGCCCATGCCGTCTCTCTTTGGGACCATGTCGCAGCCATCATCTCAAAGGAGATCCGGTGAATCGCAGGTTGACGAACTTTACCGACACCAGTACACCAGCCCACTCCAGCGCAGAAACCAGCAGGCCAAGGAGCAGCAACTTCTCCATCGGTCACTGAACGCCCCGCCCCCGGCCCTTAGCGCGCGCACGGATGAAGAGATGGATGATAAGGAGCGGGAGCAAAAGGCAGAAGAAGAGATGCTCCCATCGTCCCATGGTCGTTCTCAGCAACACCTTCATCGTCGCCGATCCCGTCAAATGATGGCGCCTATTACCCTGGAACAGGAGGATGAACCGCAAGATTCGTCTATGGATCAAAGCTCTACTCGACTGGAGTTTGAAGAAAAGAGACAGCAGCAGATCCATCAGCGTCGCAAGATGCAGCAGCAAAAGCAGTTGAAGCAGCAGCAGCGTCAATCAGGAATTCTGTCGCCCAATGGTGCCGAACCCGGCGGATCTCCCCAAGAACAGCATCCAAGCAACTTCAACAAGCAGAGCAACGAGACCACCATGGCGGGTATGTCTTCGGGTGGTCACTCTGACGAGCAAGACCACGTGGAAGTGCCCTCGACCAGCTGTGTCACGACCAACTCTCTCTCCATGTCCATGCATGATCAACACCAGAACGACTATCAGCAACAGCAACTTCAGCAACAAAAACATGCGCAATTGGCACAGCTGGCTCAGGCTCAAGCACAACAAGCACAACTGTCACAGGCACAACAAGTGCAACAGATTCAGCGTGCGTACACACCAAAATTGCCTCAAGAAGTTCCCCTGGTTGGCAAGGCGGCCATCAAAAACCTCAGAAACAAGAATCCCGATAGCAAGGGATTGTACGAACAAGTCGAAATACACCTCTGCCAGATGTTGCGCGCTCACAGAGAAGGACTCCTGCTTTCACTAGCACCCGACTACACTGCCCATCTCAAGGACATGCCTGAGGTCCCAACGGTGTTTATTGCCCGCTGGATCGAATATGCTCGCTATGGTGTTGGTTGGTATCTGACCAATGGTGTCATGGGAGTACGATACAACGACAAAACCATCGTTTCTCTTTCTCCAAATTCTATGTAAGTTACAACTGTTCCCTTTTTCTCGGCTTTGCTTGACAAGATGATAATGTAAATCGTGTTGATATTAACATTCTCTCTTCCATATCATAAATTAGTGATATTGAGATTATCGAGGCTCCTAGATCGGCTCACAAGCGCCCCACGAGAAAAACGGGTACCACTGCTTCGGGTACGACAGCGCCTTCGTCGGCCAACAATAGTATCCATGATCTCCATGATGAGAAAGGCTTTAAGCGTCGATCCTATGCCGACAGCGAGCCCACAGCATACGAATCCAAGGACCCAGCAGTACTCATTTCGTCACTCGATCTCAAGGTGTCCACTATCAAGGATTTAGAACGACACATTGATGAAGACGGCGACACCCAGATGATGGTTATTTATGACAACCAGAACAATATTGTCAACCCTGCGACTTTGGTACGGACCAGCACCGGCAATGAGTTGAAGTCTCTGAGCCAGAACAGCCCACAGAACAGCCAGAGCCGAAGCGAGGACACGAGCCGCGAAGCCAAACCACGTCTCGAGAATGAGTCAGGCGAGATTCCTTCGTTGTACTTGCAGCAGCACGACCCAGCTGAAGCTTTCTACGACGAGTGGGACCACGACTGGTTTTTACAGAGTTTGAAGCGCGTGTATTGCCGCACCAACAAGTATCCGCCACGGTTCGAAAAGAAGCTCAAGGTCCAAGCCTCGTACAAGGATTACATGCTGCAATTGCTGCGGGGACTCATCTGCTGGTCCTACGAGGACAAGCTTTTGACCCGCGGCATGCCCTTTCTGACCAACCTCTTTCGCCGGAAACACATCCTGATGCGACTCAGCAACGGGATTGTCCAGGTAAACAGAGCGTGAACAAACACCATGGTAGTATCTGCTCTGAATGCATGCTAACAGTTTACTTCTTTTTAGATCAACTTTGCGGATCATACCAAAGTTGTCTTTTCCAAGTGTGGCCATGTGCTGACATTTATGGACAACATGCAACCGCCTGTCCGACTGACGATGAGTGTTCATCAAGCTTTGATCCCCGAGTTCTTTTACGACCCCGAGTACCCCACCGATGGCGATCTGCTCGTGGGCGACGAAGTCAGACGTGTCTATCACCTTGGGTACACCGACGGCGACGATTATCGACATGGCCATAATGCGTCTCCTCACCATACCGCCTCCGAGTCACGCTTGTGTCTGGCGTCCGGCGCCACGGCCGATATGATGCACGAGATTGATGTGCATCTGCGACCACGGAAGGCGATTCTGGAGAAGCTTCAGGGGCGTATCCATGGACAACGACAAGGCGCAGGAGTCTATGACCTGGAGGACACGAGCCTGGACGCCGAGTCGTACGCTCTGGAAGAGATTGAGATTGCAGAGGAGACGGAGGGTCCCGTGTCGATCCAGATGATGACGTTTCGGACGCTGCATGAGGAGCTGGTGCGGCGCCTGAAACTCGGGCAGAGTTTGCTGCAGCGGCGTAGGCTGGAGCACTGGGAAGACGAGCGCAAAGAGGCGCTGGAGCGGGAGCAGCTGGCGCGGGACCGGGAGGATCACCGGCGTCGGCGCAAGAAGCGGGAGATGAAGAAGGGGGAGCATGAGGATGAATAACTGGCACGAGAGGGGAGACATAGATGGTAGAGATAGTAGAGCCTGCCAGCCAGCCAGCCACTTAAAAAAAAAAAAAAAAAATTGAATTGCTGAATCACAGAGGAAGCAGCGACCGCGGCACGCTTATTACCCCAAGCCCTTGAGAGTATCAACAAAAATAAGGAGAGGTGGCCGAGCGGTCCAAGGCGCTGTATACCTAAAACTGAAACGCCTTTGCATGCAGTCTGATTCTTCAAGTCAGTCGTGGGTTCGAATCCCTCCCTCTCCCATGCCTTTTTTTTTTCTTCTTGAGCCGCGCCTCCATCACTATTTCCACTGTCATCATGGTTTTGCGCGGGAGTATTCTTGATCCATAAATGCTCCTGTGAGGTGAACAGATTTGTCGGAGCCCGCTGCATTTTATATTTCTATCTCATGTGGGTTAATACAAACTACGAAAAAAGTCAACGATGCACCACCAATTGCCGTTTACCAATGCCGCCCTGTCTGGCAAGATTGCCAACTGACGTCTCTGTCTACAATATATCTGAGATATGGACAGCGAATGATAGAAGCCAGAAAAAATATTGTTCTTGCTATTATTATTATCAGATTTCTGTGAGACAATAGGATGCCACATGTGGCCAGAGGCAGAACTACACGACACCGCCACCAACACAGATGTACTAAACGCACCCTGCAAGTGCCAACCACAGCCATGGTCAGCAAGTATCCTAGTCATAACCCACCAGCTGGAGTAGAGGCTCCACCTTTAGGTGGTCACTCCCTTCTTGATTTGTTGCGATATATATTGTCAACTCTCGCCAACGTCGTCTGTCAATAAACTTTTAAATCTACCCATCCGTTCCATCACATCCAGCCGGAGGTGATCTTGATATTGTTTCAGCACGCGGGTATCTACGTGCAACACAAACTCCAGAGTGTCAGTACCGGACCGGGGTCGAGAGATCAAATCGAAGAAATCACTGCCGCTACTAAGACGCTCCCCAACATCTGCGCGTCCCTGGGCCCGTTTGTTCACGGCTGTGATTCGAACCGACTTTTCCCATTCAACAGTGTTCTTGCACCATTCCTCCCTCCTGCCGAGTTCTGCCCGACCGAATCCTTGACAAAAAAAAAATTAATCACGGAGGAGGCATCGAGAGGGGCGCGGGCGAAAAGATCAAAGTTACTAGTTTTTCTCTGCTTGATCAGTACAAATGGATGCAAAATAATGAAGAAAAGAAGAAAGAGCAGGACAATACGGGATGGTAGGACGTGCGGAAGAGAAGAGTCTTTTTCAAGAACCTCGTAAGTCCTTGTTTAAAGTGTTCTTATATTATTTTTATTGTCCCTTTGACATGCTAACTTCGCAATTTTCAAACCTCAGTTTTATGCATGTGCACACAATATGTTATTATTATTACTCAATTTCACTATGGCTACCAAGCAATCTCGCATAACAAACCAAACAATTTCGCAATTCTTTACTATTAATATCATCAGTGATCAATGACTGTGTCTGCACGAGTGCGTCGAGGAGAGTAACAAGACCCTTTATTCATCTCTGGATGTTCATCGCTCCACCCACACCTAAAAAATGTGAAAATGCTCGCGAAGATGGTTAGGGGCCTTTACAGAAAATGTTTTCCCCTTTCTTCGAAGTCAATTTGGAAAAGGGATATTATTTTTTTTGCCAAAGAGCACCCATTGCTGCTCAATTCCATTCTCCTTTCCTTTTTTTTCGTTCTCTTCTCTCGTTCACATCAACAACTACAACATCAACAACTTTCTCCCTGGCGTTCTTCCTCAACAAACAAAAAATGTATGCAAAAGCCGTATGTATCGTTATCCAGACCGCAACAACCTGCGTAGGTTTGCAGAGGCCGAAATCGACTACAACAGAAAATGGCGACAAGATCCAAAAGGATACGCTCTTAGTCGACTCTTACCGCGTCCTCGTCTCACCGTTGGGCCAATCGATCGTGGTCTCGGTCTCCACCCTGTACTTGTTCCTGATGCGCCAAGGCACCATCCCAGCAGAACTTAAGACCTGGCAACTGGTCGCAATGGTCAGTAGCGTCTTGGCTACGGCTCTCCGACGGTGGGCATACAAGACTCTTGATAGGTTCTTCACCGTAAACCTTTTTTTGGAGGCATTTTTTGCTGTTTGTGGGATCTGCTGTAATCTGCGTGTACTTGAGGCTAAATGGTATGCTTGGGGGGGGGTTCATTTACACTTAGTTCAAGTTGACCATCCGAGAGGGACATCGCCTTGTCAAGACTGGGCCCTACCGATACCTGCTCCACCCATCCTACACTGGACTTATTACGATCTTCTTGACGTATGTGGCTGTTATAGGCTACGGTGGATTATGGACATATTTGATTCAGCCAAGACTTCCTATCCCCGTCCCTGGTGCCCTGGTAGCGCTCGCTGTGCTCTGGTACCAAATGGCTGCCTTTTTCAATCGTGCAGGAGAGGAGGAGGCCATGTTGGCACAGGCCTTCGGGCAGGAATGGGCGGATCATGCTGCAACGCGCTGGCGTCTTGTCCCTCTGGTCTATTGAATCTGGAAGAACCGATGTTTCGTCATAACAGAAAGATAGTCTTTTTTATGTTACTCTACCATGTAATCCTAATCACAATTCTTGATCCAAACAAGCGTTCAGACGCAGGGAGTTCTAATGGATCTTTGATCATAGACATGTTCAGCGACGGATAGCTGTTACTGTTACATATTCCAACACACAATAGACTTCCAGGAAGATCTAACAGCCATTATTATACCCAAAAGTGATCACTCCAGCGCGTCATCCTAACATGGCCTCTTTAACTTCAATTTTTTCGTTTGCACTACAGTTTTCAATTGACCATTATATGTGGTTGACTTTCAACTGGAATTATCAGTAACGAGAGAAAGCCACTACAAGGAGTGTTCGTTTAGTGTCAGCGCAAATTCAATCCATTTTACATGGAACCACACATTCTCTAAATCCAGCTTCGTTTTATTGTATTTTGTAGTATCTTGAGGTCAGAGATAGTTAATGCAACACCAGAGCTCCAACTGGGTATCACCGTAAATACAAAGTAGTCAGAGTCGCGTTGGTCTTGAACTCCTCCACCAGTGCCTGAGCTCCTTTGTCTCCAGCTAATTTAATCTTGACTACTTCAGACAGTTTTTGAGCTCCGATCTTGCTGCTTCCCAAAGTTCATAGTGATCAGAATCGAGTGGTCTTGAGTGCCTCAGACAGTGCTTGAGTTCCGTTGTCTCTGATGTCGTTGTTCTCCAAGTACAAAGCAGTCAGGGGGGAGTTGATCTTGAGCGCCTCAGCCAGTGTCTCAGCCCCGTTGGATCCGATCAAGTTGCCAGTCAAGTCCAACGTGATAGAAGCCGGTCTTGAGTGCGTCAGACAGCACCAGAACTCCATTATCTCCAATCGCGTTGCCCTACAAGCTCCAGTTGGTCATACTGGTGTGTAGCATGTCTGATAGTATCCCAAGTCCCTTTCCTCCGATCGATATAGGTGCCATCTTGAAGGACATTAGTGAATAGGGATGATAGAGTTCACTAATGAATACGAGAGGTGTAAGAGCTGCAGGCAAAAATCGTTCAAGATGGAAGTGAATGGAGAGTGGGATTCGTGAAAAATGAACTCCAGTCCACTTTTTGGGTTATGCTTGATAGGGCAAAAGTGAGTGTGAAGATGTTTTTTCATGCTTTATTTGTAGCCTATTCAGATCAAAACAGCTTCGCCTCATCCAAAAACCTTTAAGTGCCCACTACAGCGTAATAGTTGTCAGAAAGCAAGATGCTATTATATGACCCCATACTGGGATCTGTTATAGAGTTGAGTACATATTTTGGGGTGGTCTCGTTACCAGTCTCTCTTTCACCTCCAGTTTATATGTCATAGATATTCATTTCAAAATTAGCATGGCGGAACAAAAAGGGTCGCTGGTAGAGTGCTCAAGCTAGAACTTCCACGCAAATATAACTGGCCTCATCCCATGCCGGAGAATAAAGATTGGGCATGAAGAAGCGGCTTACAATGGACGAGAAGTGACGGTGTGGGAAGGCACCGAAGTGCACGGGGAGGAAGGAGGCACTGCAAGGGAGGCAATGATGGAGATGAAGACAAACAAATCTGTCGTGATTAATGTAGGCATGGTGGGACGTGTTTTTTTTTTTTTTTTTTCTTGTTTTCCGTGCGCACAGACTGAGTTTTCAGGCACAAATCGCATAAAAATATCATTCCCCCACTAACACCATGGGCTGAGGATGGTACACCAGTCTTCTCCTTGTCTGTGACAACTAAACTGGAGGCGACAGAGAGAGACTGGGGACTAAATTACAGGATGATGAGAGATTTGTTTTTACTTTCGCCAACCACGAAGTAGTTAAGAGCGACGACCGTTAGCAGGTGACACCAAGTCTCGACGAGCTCTTTCCATGAACCATATTAAAAGTCTTTCTCATGTGGTCAAGTAAGGATGGCGCAAATAGAGCATATTTATTTCGAATCGATCCCTTCATCCTCCTCATAGAACGAACGGAATGAACCTCCAGCGCTTGGAGGCATACTCTTCCCACTCTGAGCCGAAATGTTGGTGCAACATCTTTTCCTCGCCTTGCACACGGAAGACGGTCAATCCATAGGCGAGAATCAGTCCACACAGGGTCAGGACCGAACCCGGAATTGGAACAAGCATCAAGGGCTTGATGAGATAACTCCAGTATCCTTGATACGCAATCGAGAAGATGTAGGGGACGCCGGTCATAATCAGCGCAGTATACGATGGATGGAGCAAGTATTTGTAGGGTCCATCCTGCACAAGTCGGTGTCCTGGACGGATTGTAAGTGAGAACTAGAAAAGAAGGAGCAATTGGCTGATCATTAGACAGGGTGTTTCCATTATCTAGGATCCTATTTGGCGAATCTCTCAATCTCTCTCTCTCTCTCTCTCTCTCTCTCCCTTACTGTGAAGAATCGGTCCAAAGTCCTAAAGGACCATGCACGGAGGAGGTATCCAAGGACGCCACTGATCGTGGTCAGGACCTGCCACGGCCTGAGTTCTGAAGAGATTATTCCGCGAGACATGAGCACAATATACAGGGCTGCAGCAACAACGGCGGCGGTCTGGCCAAGGCGCGGCATTAGGTCAATCATGATGGTAGAGAAGAGGCCCTCGTCTTTGACCTTGTCCGCTTTTTCCTTGTTGACGGAGGAGGCGGGCGGACGGATTGAGAGGATTGTGGCTAGGGTGTGGATCGAGATGCAGGCGAC